AGCGGGCTGACCTCAACCCATTTGCAGCCCAATGCCAACCACTTGTGGCGCTTTGAGCGACGCGAATCCATGGAGAGCAGCTCCATTGTAGAAGTGCGCAATCCGAAGTGGCAGGATGATTTGCCGCATTCTGGTGATGTGGTCCTTTCTGTGAAGCAGTTGCTTGGATCTGATTTCTTTGGGATATTTAGTTTTTAACTTGGCCAACCTCTCTCGTCATCCTTTTCCCAAGTAAAGACCCATTATATATTCAGACACAGTGGAAACCCCTACAAAGGCCACTCTGAGATATAAAAATACTTTTTTGGGGGGGCGGTAAGTTCTGAAATATCATGTTAGGTACATGAGCAGCGCCAGCCTTTCTCAAAATCCCCAGCTGATGCTGCCTCATTCTCTCGCGGAGAAGATTGATTTCCCGAATGGCTTGAAGCCTGCTGAGCGTAGATGGTTGTCTGATGATGTGATTAAGGAGTTTCGCAAAACAGCAAAGATCACTGGTTCTGAACCATGGAGACTTTTCGAGGCGCAGCAGTGGCTGCAGACTTTGCGCGACGAAAATGAAAGCAAAGTCACAAAGCAGCCACCCCAGCTACAGATGGTCTTGGAGCTGGGCGCGACTGCAGATGTCGGCGAGTTGCCTGACTACTCTGATTTGTTCATTCCTGATGACCCAGCGCCCCGGCGCGTGCAAGTGGCCCTACGAAAGGGTATGAAGCGGCCGGCTGCAGCGCGTCCACCGCATGTTTTGAAAAGGCCATGCATGCGACGACCTGCAGCCAGTGACCATGAAGCGCCTGTACCTGAAGTTCAAGCGGAACCGGCTGAGTCTGAGGCTGTCTTGGACGGTGATCAGGGTGAAGCGGCAGAAGAAGCTCCCGCCGCACCAGAGCGAGCAGCGGCTTGATATACCAGAACTAGTACCTATTACCATGTGTGATGTTCTTGTTTTTGTCGGTCCTAGATAGTTGTGTGATATTTTTCCACTCTTTAAGCTTACAAGTCTATTTTTGGCAAACACTTGATGTTGCTAGGCATCATCATCTGAAGTGCCTCTTCCGCCCAACCATGTCTATGGGTGCACCAAGTGCCGCCATAGGCCACGCGGATGTGGGCAATGTCGCGAACATGCTGCCCGAGGACACCGCGGGACCTACATTGATGCTGCAGGCCACGTGGTGAGACCCAAGTAGCAAGACTCTAAGAGTCAGCTCGATCAGTTTCGTCCATTTCAAGATGGACTCGCATTTTGCCGTGACTTTTTTGCAGCCTTGAGGCGAAAAATGTGTTTTGGAGTGCATTGCGCTGAGAAGAAACCCAGAAATGAGAATCTTTGTCAGTGATTTTTCGAACACTTTTCGATGGAAAACTGAGCGAAACAGTCTATGTCTGATCGCCCAGCTGGCCCAACTTCGTTCGCAGTTTGTTGCTTTTGCTATAAAGCTTTTGACTCTGATGCCGCCAGCCAAGCGTCCAGCTGCAAAGAAGCAGATGACACTGCAGACGACGCAGGAGCGCCGTGGCTTGAAGAAGCCTGCCGCCAGTCAAAGTGAGCTTGTGTTGAAGAAACCCGCCGCTGCTACTCACAGCGATGTCGATGAACCGATTGCCACTGACCCGTTGCTCAAGGAGATTCGACTTTATGACTCTCAGGGATTCAGTTTTACAGAAGTCCTCGACTGCCTCAGCGAGGAATACAACGATGCAAAGAACTACACAGAGAGCTTCAAGGATAAGGGCCCAGACGGCCAGTCATTTGATAACAGAAGCAATTTTCTATTTTGCGTTGTTTTTTTCGGAGCGACCAATTGGCCGAACGAGTGTGACAGACTTTCATTTTTTTGATTCAGACAAGTCAAGGTACCGGAAATGCAAAATGAAGCGCTGGAGTTTGTGGAAAGCTGGGGCACTTGAGGCGCACGGGTGGCGCAAGCTTCCTCAAGGGTGGCGCTGGAGTTGGCAGTGGATGTCTGCGGAGTTTAAGCGCTCACCTGATTTGGCCAAACACTTCAACTAGAAAGGTCAATTTTTTTGGCTTCCCTTTTGCTGGCGAGGCGCCAGCGCAATAAGGTGGCAAAGCAGCTTCTTCCTCGAAGCCGATGTCTATGGAAAAACAGATCAGTGTATGCGTGATGCAGCCTTGTGTTTTTTTTGTCGGACAGGGAGTGCTCCAGGAACCACCTTAACCGCACAAGGAGAGAGAGAGAGAGAGAGATAGAGAAAACCGCTGCCTTCAATTTTTTGACCACAGGGAGCGCCACAGGGGCCACAAGGCAACATTTGCCTCACTGACCACAGGGAGCGCCACAGGGAGCAGCACACAGAACACTGAGACCTGCTGCCACAGGGAGTGCCACAGGGAGTGCTACAGGGAGCCTGTCTCTGCCTCAATCTTGCCACCACAGGGAGCACCACACACTAAGAGTAGTACCGCCTCTTTTGTTTTTACCAACACAGCGAACACTTTTTTGGAACTCTACTCGCCGAGGGAGCGCCAGAATGAGCAAAGTTACTGCCTGCAACCTTAAGATCTTGAAGAAGCAAACCCTAAACCCTAAACTGCGCGGCAGAAATTTCGCGAGAGTTTTGTTCCCCAAACACAGTGGAGTGGTTGAACAATTTTTTGCTGCAGATATTTTCAATGTTCAATTCCAACATTTCAAATTTTCTGGGGGGAAATCCAGGGAACTCCCCGGATATCTGGCAACCAATGTCCCCAACATTTTCGATTTTCTAGGGGATTCCGTGGACGATGACGGAAATGTGGATCCAATTTTGAAAGATCATTTTGCAGGGACCTTCCCTGGAACAGTGGGCTAAATCCAAGGGAATCGGCTTTCACTGTGATCTCACCTCTTGGTTTCAAGAGGCAGAGATCGGGAGAAACTCTAACAAACTAAGATTTACGGCTGGGATCCGTGGAAGGCTGGGGGATCTCAGCTCTGAGATTTCATATTGGGATTTCACGGGCCACAGGCCCTCAGGGTGAGCGCAGGGAGTTGTTGGACTAGACTGCTTCAGAGTTCTACAGTAACAGTACCGACCTTCGATATATACTTTTTCCCTTCAACACAGCGACCTTCATGGGCGCTAGCGACCTCTATGGGCGCTTTGTGTTCTTGCCGTTTCAACACGACACGTATAGAGATAGTAAAGTTAAGTTTTAGAACCGTTTTACTTCGCTACTTCGTGTTTTGTAACCAAAGTTTTCGATTTTCACTTTGAAGGCATTCAGTTCTTCCAGGCCTAAGCTCTGCTGAATGATGATGTTTGTCCATCAACGTTCATTCTCAAAGTCACTGTTTAGATGTTGAGCTAGTTTTCAGCCCGCCACCCCCTGTAGGGAGGAACGCCATGGAACACTCCTTTCGCGTGCGGCAAAGGGCTGCCAGGGTGACTTTGGAGATCATGAACCAGAGGAGGAGTGCTCAGAGAGGACGAGTGAAAGACTCAGCATCTCCTGAGTCGTCTTCTGACAGACGTAGTCATAGTCCGAAAGTCAAAGCTGAGCTGGAAGCTGTGCCGCCTGAATCTGACCAGGTTCATGCTTCGCCTTCCCAACGCCAGTTCCATGATGGAGAGTTAGATGTTGGGCAGCAGCGATCTCCATGTGGTGTTGTTGAAGCGGCCCAGACCCAGCCAATCATGGAAGAGCAACAGCAGCCCTCTGTGACAAGACCACAAGAAGAACAGCATTCTGTCCCAGAGACTGTCAAGGTCGAGGCTTCAGATGTCAAGGGCAAAAATGCATTTCCAGACACAGGATTCGAGTCCCCTCCTGAATTGCCAGAGCCGGCTTTTGTTCCCAACGAGTCTGCTTGCAGTTCCTCAAGTGCGGCGCCTGGGCCTGCGCTCTCAACTCAATGCCAAGCAGAACCTGCGCCAAAAAGAAAGAGAGGCAAGCGTGCTGGCCGCAATGTCCATTTCTACGATGCGGCCTTTGCTTTGAAAAGGGTCTTTGGCTTCCCACCTGGGTGGCAGTAGGATCAAGACAGTGGAGATTGGGAAAAAAGTGTGCTTTTGTTGTTAAAGAAGCAGGGTGTTGGCAGTCACTTCTTCGATTTCAATGTCATCGTCTTCAATCGTTTGGAACGCTGTGTTCGAATTTGTGTGGCAGTGTACAGTACGCAGTTTGAGTCCATTTCAATATATCACTATTTTTTGGCTCAACATGTGGTCTGTATGGGGGTATTTTCTTAAGGCGACCGTTTGGGCGCAGCGACCTCTGGGGCGCTTTACCCACAAGTTGGCTCTGACTTTTTTGAGCTGACAAGCTTCCTGGCCATGACTGACCTCTGTGAGCGCGCCGCGTCTGAGGACGGAGATGAACCGATGGGTGATGCTTCTTTCTCTTCGATATGGCTCGAGAAGCTTAAATCGAAGTTGGCTGACTATCCTTCAGGGCCAGCTGCATTGCTGGCAGCTGAGTTGACGACAGATGTGGAGCTGATAGATTTTATACAGTGGCTGTGGACCGAGTTTCCAGAGAGGGCCGATGTCTGCTACCACCACTCCAAGGAGCTGCAGGGTGTTTCGGAAGAGATGCTGGCGCAGACACCGCCAAATGCCTTCCACCTTGCAGCTTTTGCTTTCAATGATAGGTGCAGCATGAAGCCGCCGCCCGGCAGAGATGCTGCCTTGACTTTGGCAGAGCACATCCTGAAGCATGGCTTTGTCACCTCTGGCGACCCGATTTTGGCCCAGCATGAAACGCTTGACCAACCTGTGGGGGCAGCTGTGCGACCACCTTGGTCGAAACCAGTTCAAGGTGAGTGTTTGGAACCATTCTCTGTGGCCTTCATCAAGGGCAGAGCCAGGATCTCATCCCTTCTGGCCCTGCTGTGGGTGATGTTCGATGGTGGAGTCACAAGGATTGCAGAGTCACACAAATTGCTGTGGGAAACTTGCTGCGTGATCTGGACGCAACACCTGCAACAGCACACCAAAGAGGAAGAGGTTTTGACCAACTTGAAACTCAGCCTCAAAGGCTCCTTGCGGAAGGCTTGCAACGTAATCCAGATTGCCCAGATGGTGCGCAAGCTCTTGAAGGAGGGTGGCACCGACTATGGCAGCTTCATTAGGAAATGGAACACGCAAACAGTGCAGTCGCAGCAGATCAAAGGCCGAAAGGCCATTTCGTTGAAGCTGCTCTTTGAATCAGCTCCACAGGACTGTTAAAGGGTTTTAGAACTTCGTGGCAGTGAATTTTTGCTTTAGATATCTTATTTTTTGTCGCCTTTAACTTTGAAGTCTTTCAAATTCATAATTCATGTTTCCAATGTGCCAGGATGTTTTGGACGACATCCTGACGCATGTCGGGGTCATGGGCTGGCCTGACTCTGGCTGGACGGAAGAAAACCTTGCGAGCAAGCGGCTTTTCCCAGGCCATGCTTTCAACACAGGCCGGTCCCGCAAGTGGGCTGCACGGCTCAAAGTGACCGAGGAAAGCTTTCGCCTTATGGTGAAGAGGGTTCAATTGGCAGTGGAGAATTGGCGCCCTGAG